TTTCATTTTTGTACTCTTTCGCCAAGTCCAATGGCGCCTCCCTTCACGTCCAATCGTGTTACATGCATGCATAGATGCTTTCCCCAACGCTTCCATGTAGCCTGCACCTACACTGCAAGAGTGACACTTATCATTCATGCATGCACCCACCTACCACCTCACTTACTCTATGATGAAATTTTGTCTATAAATACAGAGCCTCACATACTTCTATCGCATCCACAATCGTCTCACCCTCTGCTACAAACTCTTTCATAATCTCATACAATTTCAAACTCTTTCATAATCTCAAACATTTTGAACAATGGCTCTTCTCACAATGGGCGATTCTCAGAGACACAAGGGACAATATTGCAGCGTTTGTAAGTTTCTTGTATACTTATACATTTTTCATACTTCTATTAATGCTTTATTCATATTACCTACTCTTACACTTTTTATACAACTACCTTGCTCCCGACCCGTTGATCGTACCCTATCTCGAATACGCAGGTTTCGGAAATGTTATAAAGATCTCCAACTGCACGATTGATTCAAAGTTCATACTTGCAATATTGGAAAGGTGGAGACCATAGACCCATGCATTTCATCTACCAATAGGTGAATGTACCATCACACTAGAGGACGTGTACATGTTATTGGGTCTCCCTATCGATGGTAAGGCGGTTAACGGGTTGATTCAACAACCTAATTCTCTGTGTGAAGAATTGTTGGGCAGGGATATGGTTGAAGGTGGTGGTGCGAGAGGTCAGGGTATACTACTTACTGAGCTAAAAAATCATTATGCGACTCTAGAATTGAACGAAAATTCCTCCGAGCTAGCTAAGGTAATAAAAGCTAGAAATTATATAATGATACTATTTGGAACCTTTTTATTTCCCGAAAGAATGGGAAATAGTGTAAATTTTATGTATTTAAATTTACTTAGAGTCTTTGAATAAACTAGAAAGTATAGTTGGAGTTCTGCTGTTTTAGCCCATCTATACAGTTCCTTGTGTAAAAACGCAATCAAGGAAAAATATACATTTTATGGCTACACTTTTTTACTTCAAGCCCGGAGTTGGTGGAGGATGGAGTCCCTAAACCCCGTCAACAACAACACATTTGTTTTTCCATACGCAATAAAGTAAGTCATCAACTTATATCATTTGTACTATTCATCTCTTCACCAAATATATGATAAAAATAAAATATTTTTCAATTCCTTTAGGTACTCGCGTGAGGGGTATGGATTACGGAGATTCAATGTTGCTCTATACCGCAATCTACCGGATCACCTTGGCCTGGATAATGTGCGTCATACCTTTCAACTATTCTACTTTTAAATTATTTATTTATTATATTTTCATTAAGCTGCTTTAATTTTATCCGCAGTTTGTCTGGAGACCATATTTGGGTTTGGACCATGAACCAAACCCTGAGGATGCAGCAATTTGGAGCGCAAAGACTGCAATCATACGGTTCAATGTTGTGGAGATGCACCACAGCGATTGTGTCAAGATGTAGTTTGGAATTCATCAAGAGATACCCGGCGATCCAAATTGTTTGTCCCCGTTGCATCTCAAAAGGTTCGACGCCCAATAGGGTCTTACCAATTGGAAAGATTTTGCTCCAGAATGGTGTAAGATGTGGCAGAGGCATCACAAACATGTCTTTTAATTCCCAGTTTTCCTCAACCATGGTAATATGCAACACACAGATCAGTATTTAGCTTGGTACAGATCGGTTAGTACCCCAGAAATGCACGTGTCTCATCCAAGGTATTTGGTTGGCCCACGAACACAATGGGCACAACCCTCATTTCCCCAACAACAAACCCAACACACATCAACCTCCCACCAACCCCCTCCCCCCCCCCCCCCCCCCCCCCCCCCCGACAAAATAGAACTACAAACATCCAACCACAGTCACCACCACAATACAATTACACCCACATGCCCCACAACCAACCACAATCACCACCTCAATACCAATACCCCCATATGCTTCACACCCAACCACAATCTCAATCACAATACCAATACACCCGCATACCCCACACATAATTTCAGTCTTCTGCATATTCCAATATGGGCCCCTCAACATCCAACCTTAGCCCTGATCTGGGATTGTCCGAAGATTATGAACCAACTTATCATCAACCACAATATCACAAAAGCACCTAACATTCCAAATACCAAACACCACAAGATCCATTTCCTTTCTACCCCCCGTACTCAAACGACCAGTGCTACAGACCAACCATGGAACCCCATCTGTAACGCCTCAGACAACCTTCAAGATTATCGACTGACCCCACAAACCAACATGGATCTTTTCAGCATGATTTGACCTCATTCACATGCTTTCCGGGAAACATCCCAGAAGGTCATCCATCCCAATACTACTCCAAGTCAAGCACGCTTAACTGTGGAGTTCTTATGGAACAGGCTACCAAAAAGAAGATGCATCTTGTTAGTATAGGTAGTACCAATTAATCCTTATAAGCATTCCTTCAACCATGCAGTCACATACCTGCATAGCCTCGGGATCCCTCTCATTCCGATGCGGCGACCACTTATAGCCCTCTTCGGCATCGAGTCTTACACATGCAGTACAACCACCCTCTGCCCTCTCCGGCCTCGGGTGTTACACCACCCACCACCAACACGACCAAACTTTCAAGGTATGGGCAACCGACTATACCAAAGCGGATCTTCTAGATATGGAGATGTGACCGATTTCATGGATCCGAAACGCATTGACTTCGCTGGGCCATCGACCCTGCCACAATAGGAAACGCGACGAAACCCAGCAAGGAAAATGCGAGGACGGGGATGCGGAACCGGGGGTCATTACCGGGTTCCGGGGGACCATTGATTAATCTGTATTTTTTTATGTAATTGTTATGTGTGTAATTATATTGTGTAAATAAAAAGTCAATTTTGTTGATCCTATATCGTTTACGTAACGCACCGCATTTAAAATAAAAAACGCGAAAAATCGCCTCTCAATTGCACTAAGGCGCCATCTCACTTGGCTTAGGGCAAGCCTTTCATAAATATAATATTATTACATTATTTATATATCAGTAAGAAAATATATAATAATAATAATGTATATAATTAGTTATATATATATATATATATATATATATATATATATATATATATATATATATATATATATATATATATATATATATATATATATATATATATATATATATATATATATATATATATATATATATATATATATATATATATATATATATATATATATATATATATATATATATATATATATATATATATATATATATATATATATATATATATATATATTAGTTGTAATAGTTATTAATAGATTTTGTAAAAAAAAGCACTTCAATGAAAATAATGTTAAATATATTAATAAAAAAATTAAGTTTTAAGTGTGAAAATTACATTTTAATATATACTGAAGTAGATATATTAAGATTAAGATATATATTTAGAATTTTTATTATTATTATGAGTACTATTATTATTAGATGATTAATAATTTTTTGTATAAAAAATGAAAATTAGGATAATAAAATATAATAATGTTAATTGGATATATTTTCATTATTATTATTTATAATTGTGGTAGTTGGTTATTATATTATTATTATTATTATTATTATTATTATTATTATTATTATTTAGATATTATATTGTTAATATTATAATAGTGGTGGTTTAATATTATATTATATTATTATTATTATTAATATTTGTATTTAGAATTGTTGTTAAGATAACATGTGACTAAGATTATTATCAAGATGATACGTAGATAGGGTTGTTATCATGAGTTCTTTGGATTTAGATTAAATAGATATTAGATAAGATGGACCAAATATCATGTATTATAAGCAATGTTTTAAAAATTGAACAGGATGTCAATTTAAAAAAACTTTTGGTTAAAGATTCATTTGATTCAACCAATTAAATCTACGGTTAAACCGTTTATTAAATAAATTAATAATATAAAGTTAAATTTTATGAATAAATCACATAATTATATTTTCATAAATTTTTAAAATAAATATTTTAAAAATTCATTACAATTTTACTATTACGAGACCAATAATAAATATAATTACACAATTATAATTGTACGCTTAAAAAAACAAAATTATAATATAGTGTTAGAAATTTGTGTTGTTTTTTTGTGAAGGAAAAATATTTTACTTATTGATACAAACATAATAATAATTTTAATTTTTTTATATAAAAATAATTAAAATTGATCAATGACAAATATTTTTTGGACCAGACGGTTTTACAAAATCGATTATGATTCTTTGATTCGAATGATTTCGAACGGTTCAATCGAATTTTTCTGATTTTATTCCGGTTTTGATTCACTTGTAGTTTTATAAAACTGACCGGGTCGGAATCACCTCTGCTTTTTTGTCTAACCAATTGAGCCGGACGATTCGATCCAATTTTAAATAAAAAGGGTTACATTTCATTTTTTAATTAAATCTAATTCTTTGCGAATGAAATTCATACGACACTTGGTCTTTTTGGTGATAATCATTCTAAAATTGGTGAATGCTACATAAATTCATCAACTAAAAATCTATTAAATAGTGTTATACTCGTAGTTTTGTGTTTAGGAGTAAAAATGAGTTATTGATCACAGATGAATAAGAGGCTTCGACTCTATATTTTTATCTAAAATCTTATGATTGAGAATGAATCAATTATATATTCTAGCATTTAACATGTTCATAGTCAATTTAAGACTAATCACTAACACATCAATAATATTCCTATTTTGTACGAGCTATACTTTCACCAGAGTTAGAACCAACAAAACACAAATCTTGAATACACATCAGTAACATTTTTTTTATAAGCAAAAGCTACTAGAAACTTGTTTGGGGATAAAAAGTACTACAATCTATAAGACTATAAAATATAACACACACAACACAACCACTAAATCTACATGTTCTCTTTCTCTCACTCACTCATTGTGCAAAGATGCCAAGTCTATTCTCAAAACAACTTCACCTCTGCTTCTTCAAACTCAAAAACCCCACAATTCTCTCCCAACCTCACTCACAACAAAACACCACTCCGCCACCATCACCACCATACTCCTTCCATTTCAACACAACCTTCACCCACCACCACGACGAACCCGAAGAAGACTATTTCTCCGACGAGACCACAGAACTTCCACCACCCGACTTCGCCTCCGTCTTCGCTTCCCAACGACTCTTCTTCTCCTCCCCGGGCAGCTCCAACTCCATCACGGAATCAGAATCTCCCCCCAACTACACCCCACCCCACAACTCCTTGATAACAAAAGTAGGTAACGTGAAAAGGGTGCCAAAATACTCTGTGAACCCTTACGTTGATTTCCTCCGTTCTATGCAGGAAATGATTCAATCTCAACAACAAGTCTTCGATGTTACCAATGATTGGGATTATCTCCATGAGCTTCTACTATGTTACCTTACTCTCAATCCTAAACATACTCACAAGTATATTGTTCAAGCTTTCACTCACCTCCTTGTCGACCTTTTATCTTCTTCCTCCTCCTCCTCCTCCTCATCATCATCATTCTCCTCTTTGCCGCCACGTTCACCGCCTTCTCCGAATCCCAATAACAGACTCCGATAATGTATCTCTTGCGTAGACTCTCCACATTTCTTGGTAATATTAATTTTAGGTATTAGGGTTTAGTTTTCACTTTTTAAATAAAAAATTGCTCGTGTGATTGTTAATCCATTTTTTGGGTAATGAAATGGTGTTGGGTTTTGGCCGTGGGAACAAGATTTGTATGTTTTTTTTTTTTGGATTAGGTATTAAAAATATTTCATGTAATTGAGAAGGTGTAAACTATGTTTTATGTTTGTTATTAGGGATAGTTTTATATAATTAGCGATAATCTATATAGTTTTATTTTCAACTTTAAGTTAATTAGTAATGTTGATAATGTCAAATTTTAGGTATTTAGTATTGTCATTATTAAAATTTCATAATAATTTTAAATTTTATCATTTTTTATAAAAACAAATCAAAATTTATTTTCGCATCTTCCAAAAAATCTTATATTAAACTATAGAAAGCTAAATCCTAAATGTAAGACTTGTGTTTTTTTTTATATAATCTAAAAACACATTTCTTAATTATGGATAGTTAATTATGGATAGTGCACATGATTGAGGAGATAATCTTTGCTTCTTTTTTCCTTAAATTTTATTTTAATTAATTTGTTTTTTTATATACACTGAATAATTAATGTAACATATCTTATTTATAAAAAAGATTATTTTTGAAATATATTAAATGATCAATGCATTTGAATAATATATAAATAGGATATATTACATATTCAGTGAATATAAAAAATTAATTTTTTTTATAAGACGAGAGATGAAATATTTATAGTGTAGTAGTAATATTTAAAAGCATGCTGTAATTTAGGATTAAAAAAAAAGCATGCTGTAATTTCTTGGAATTTATTGTATGACGTTTTTGGTGGAGATCGTGGGTGACAAACAGAGTTCGGTTATTGTCCTTGTGTTTGTTGGTGTTGTGTGTTTGTGGTCCTGTAATTGTTGGAAGAGAGATTCTGTAAATAGCAAACAAACTTGCAGCAAGCTTGGGTTTCTTCTATTGTGGTAGCAAGGTACCATGGTGGGGATTAAATAATGAATACAACTCTACTTAAAGACATAAACAAACATGTACTAGTACTCAACAAGTTAATTAGCTCTAGGCTCAAGAAACTTCTTAGCTATGGTTAAAGTTGAAAAGAAAAAAAAACTAAAAAAGTTACTAGCTCATTAAAGATTTTACTTTAATGTTAGTTTTTTATTTTATTTGAATAGTATATTTTAATGGACTTAAATCCTCTACTTCATGTAAAAATTTGTAAGGTGTTTGATTTATTTAAAATTAAATTGATTCTATTTTGAGAATTGATTCTATTTAAAATTAGAATTTATGATTTTTGGGTTTAAATATAATTTTAAATTAAAATTTATTGTTCAACTCAATTTTGTATAATTTTATTCAAATATAAATTAGTTTAGATTCAACTCAATTTGAAGTCGAATCAATTTATTGAAAATCAATTTTTTTCACTTTAGAATCAAACATAAATGAATTTTTTTTCATTTCCTCTCCTAATTTTCTATTTTTCTCTTAATTGCGGTATCACTTATCATTAAAAAATATATATATTCGAGAGAAAATGAGATTACAAGAGAGAAAGAATGAGAAGAGGAAAAAAGAGAAAAATGAAGGAGGAGATTTAAAGTAGTAATTAGGGGTGAGAGAATATGTCACACGTATTAACAGGGGTCTAGGACCTAATAGAAAATGCTTAAGTTTTTTTATAAGTTTATTTAGCTAAAAAGGTTAGGCCACATGCCACAAAAGTCTTTTAAGCCTATCAGACTGACCTATTTAAATAAAGAGGAATAATTTTATTATTATTATTTTGTATTTTGTACTTTGAATTAAAATAAGAAAATAAATCTTAGTTATCTTGAAGAACATATGTTAATAAGTTGAAAAAATCTTATGAAAAATGTCATAAGTTGTTATCTTAAATTGTTTTCATGAGTTCTCTAAAATAAATAATATCACAAAACTTATGCTAATAGATAAACTTGAATGTGTTAGTGCACTTGCCCAAAAGATGTTTGATATGATGTCAAAACTTGAATAACTTTAGCATTTATGTATATTGGATGATATCTCTAAGTTTTTATGTGCACCTTTGCATTAGGGTACTTAGGATGTATTTAGAATATGTTTGGAAAAATAATCATGCATTAAAAATGAGTTTCTGCACTAAAAATATGTATATGTGTCGACACATACGATGTATGAGTCGACACATATACTGCAATATTAAAATATGTAGGCTCTATTTCTATGTGTTGACTCATGTGTTGACACATGTTGTCTATGTGTTAACTCATGTGTCGACACATGATATCTATGTATCGACACATGTATTGCAGTTTTAAAACATGTAGCATCTGTTTCTATGTGCTGACACATGATCTTGAATAGGTCGACACATGTCATTACATGGTCAAAACATGACTTATATGTTTCGACATATACTGTAGTTTTTCTATAAAAAAATTATTTCTTTTCAATTTCTAAGCCTCCCTTTTTGCCTCCAACTTACACACATAAAAATAATTCATACATGCACCATTTTCAATCAGATGAAATTAAAACATACAAAGATTGCTCTTCATCTTCAACTTTTCATCTATGCATACACATAAACAAACTACACATAATCATTTTTTGTTTGGGTGCTATCTAGACTTGTGATGATAATGTCCAATTTTTGGTTGATGTAACCTAAGATTGGGTTGAAAATGTTTGGGAGTTTCAAATAAGAAAATTAAGCTAGGGTTTATCTTCAAGATCAATTGGTGATTTAAAGATTTTGAAAGAGATGATTTAATTTGGATTCGATGGAATGAATTGAAGAATGGGATTTCTTGCTAAGGAGTAGGGTGAAACGTTTGATCAAGTTGGTAAATCTCAGGTTACAAGGTTACACAACTTGGATTTGATCGAGTGAAAACTTTGAAGATTGACATATCTTGTAAAGGAGTAGCGTGAGATGGTGGATCAAATTGGTATATCTTGGGTTACGATAATTTGCAATTTGGATTCAGCCGAGTGAAAGATTTGAAGAATGGAGGTTTCGTGAAAAAGAGTAGCACGAGACGATGGATCAAATTGGTATTGTTGGGCGACTTGATCTTAATGAAGATCAAGGGGAGATAATAAGTTAGGATCAACATTAAACTTAGGGTTTGTAGGGTTGGATTGTTACTTTTCTCTTGTAAAAACTATTTATAAAGTAAGATTTATTTTCTCAGTTCCAAACGGAATTAGGGGTAGACGTAGTCATAGCGAGGATGATTAGTAAACTGCCTAAACAAATCCTTGTGCTCTCTCTCTCTCTCTCTCTCTCTCTCTCTCTCTCTCTCTCTCTCTCTCTCTCTCTCTCTCTCTCTCTCTTTATATATATATATATATATATATATATCATTTACTTTGTATAGCAAATTGTTAAATTCATTGATTGTGTAATCGATTCATATAGACATATCCTTTGATTGTTAAACATTACTTTGTTGATTACATTACAATCAATTAGATTGTAAGTGATATTTCATATCAACAAAGTCAAAGATAAAATCTGAAAAATCGATTGCATGTTAAGTGTTTGATAATTTGCTTATTTTAGATTTATCAATAATTTTATTGGAGATTGGTTAAAAATTGTGATCATTATAAAATGATTGATTGAGAAATTATTGTATTGAGTCTTATCATCATTGTTGATTTCATTCCTTGGCTTACTCATATATGAATTTCCAATAACTGATTCAGTTTAGATGACTTGTTCGATTTAGGCTTAATCGTCCGCTTGCCATAAGATTTTCATTGTTTTTCAAAACATATTTTAAAAGGTGATTTTTAATCTTGGGGATCTATTCACCCCCCACTAGATAAGTTTTCAGCGTCTAACAAGTGGTATCACAAGCTCTAGTTCATTCCGTGCTTCAAAAATTCTTATTAGATAATGGCCATCGCGACCAAGGAAGTCAATAATCTTGCAACACTTAATCTCACCACCTTGTTTGGGAAGTTGGAAGAACACAAGCAAGAACTCAATTGCTTGGACAAACATGAAAAGAAGCTTGAGAAAAAGAAAAAGGAAAAAGGGATTGTTAAGGAGGAAGCATTGAAGTCTAAAGCTCTCAAGGCTTCAAGTTCAAAGTCCTCTAAGGAAGAGCTCACTAATGATAATGATTCTAGTGATGAAGAAAATTCGGATGATGAAGAAATGGCATTATTTGTGAGGAGATATAATTGATACATTTGAAAGAATGGTGTCAAGCACTTCGAAAATAATCTTGTGAAGTTTAGAAGACAATCCACATCCTCTAAAGATGAAGACAACAAAAAGGACAAGAGAAAAGGTATATGCTATGAATATGGAAAATCGTGTCATTATAAACCGGGGTGTCCATCTCTTGCCAATAAGAAATGAAAGGGTCAAAGAAACGACTCTAAGAGTTCTAGAAATACCTATATTGCTTGGGATAATGTAAGTTATTTTAAATATGCTAATGTTGATAAGTTGTCATTTATAGAGTTGAAAAGTGCTTTTGAGAATTTATAAAAAGAATCATTATTTGCTTCTAAGAAACTTGCTTCCAATGAAAAAGTTTTTACATACTTGAAAGCTAAAGTTGAAGAAACAAATAAACAATTTGAATCATTAAAATGTTCTATTGTGGAAGGTTAAAAACATATAATGAGGATGGGGAACCTAGTCGGTTCGGCTGTGAAACTTGTTATATTTGACCAAAAAAGTGAGTACTCTTAAAGCCAAAATGTACAAGGCATCACAGGCTCATAATATTTTTGCCATTAATCCTTAAAAGATTGAAAAGCCTCATAAAAGTTATAATTTGATTAAGAAGGGATCAAATTGCAAAAGTAAAACTCATCATGAATCATTTTGTCACTATTGTTGCAAGAAAGGCCACGCTATTGAAAAATGTAAATTTAGGGGCTTTCTAGTTCCTAAAGGCAATTTATAATGGTTTCCCAAATGAAACAAT